AACACAAGTAACATGGGTTACAGCAGCGGCGTCGCGGCGTTGCGTTGATAATCTGAAGTGGGCCATTAATCCTGTAGTGCAACACAAGTAACATGGGTTACAGCAGCGGCGTTTTAGGCACATGGAGGGGAGGCTTAGTCCCATATGATTTATATTTATATATAAGCTAATAATCGCTAGTTGTGTGGTTATTTATTGAAATTAAACATATATTCAAGCCACATTATACTGAATTTTTCGGAATTACAATATGTAAAGTTTGAATGAATGCAATTAACTAGTATCAATTAATCTGAGGAGCTTAATGTTGCAAACAGAGTGAAAAAAAATATAACGTGTTCACTTTGGCTAATTATCGTCAGACAGATAACTGTACAAAGCGCAAGATAATTTTTTCTTTCATTTTCTAACCAACATTTCTGACGAATAGTTTCATTAAACTTAGAGGTATTAGTCTGTTTTTGAACAACAGAATTTCTGGTATTTTGAGCTAGGCAATCTGGTATTCTCGCCAAGAAAAAACCTGGCAACACTGTTACCTAGCTCAAAATACCAGAAATTCTATTGTTCAAAAACAGACTAATACCTCTAAGTTTAATGAAACTATTCGTCAGAAATGTTGGTTAGAAAATGAAAGAAAAAATTATCTTGCGCTTTGTACAGTTATCTGTCTGACGATAATTAGCCAAAGTGAACACGTTATATTTTTTTCCCTCTGTTTGGAACATTTTGACACTTTTCTTTTCCTGTGTTTGAGAACATTGACACTTTTTCCTTTTTTATCACAGGGTAAGTGTGGCACTTCTTCCCTTCGCTCAACATGAGCAAGCCACGGAAACAGGTCGTCTTCCGTTTGCTTATTTGCGTACATGCTTGCATATTGCATTAATCTAACATTTCGGGTGTTGACAGAGGTAGGCAGTAGCGCGCTACATTTTCAGTAGCGGAAGCGGTAGCGGCGCTACATTTAAGCAATTGTAGCGGTAGCGGTAGCGCCCGCTACATATATAAGTACCGATACGAGGTTTTGCCGCTATAGCGCTACCGCTACATTTATAGATAAATCCTTTGGATTTTACCTAATAGTATTGAATATTATTTAAAAACCAGCATGATACATACATAATATAAATTACAGAATAAAACTGTACGAAAGATTTCGGTGTAATGTTATCAACATCAGCCTGATACTAGTGTCAACATGTTAGTTGTTACTTGTGAAGTTGTTACCAGTTACCACTTGTTCTTGCAATGAAGCGGGAGCGCAGCCGTGCACCACCAATTTTGTGCACCAATAAGCCCTGAATCGAACGCCTTGGATCTCTCCGGATATTCACCAATCAGTATTGAATATTATTTAAAAACCAGCATGATACTTTTAATGTCAATTTCGCCATTTCTAGTGTGCAACAGATCAATTCGGATACGATTAGAAAAACTATCGAACTACTGTGCCAATTTCACCCATACATTACGCATCATTGTGAAGATTGCCTCCTTTTAATTTATTTCACTATCCACTGGGTACGAACGAATCGGTCTAGTTCAACATCTTACATAGCAGGTAAAATCGGGCCATGTGATAACTTACTCAGTTACTCCTCGAAAAAGTGATGGGGAGTATTTGTTATGAAATGTTCAGTATTTTAGCTAATCAGTTCTAATTTGTCGCTCAGTTGTACGTATAATTTCGTTAAATGTCTTTCTATTTTTGACCGCTGCCAAGAGATTGCAATTGATTGCATCTCGCAGCAGCGTAACTATGACGAAAATTCAAGTAATGTTATGAATTGTATCAAAATATCTATTACGCAGGAGGAAGAGTTGTAACACGAATCCTTGTTGACTAAAATGCAAAAACTGCCCAAATTTCCAAAAAATTAGTAAACCGTTTAATGTTTCCGATAGTTTATTTGCCTGAAATTAAATTTTCGACTAACAAACTAAACGCTCCGTTATTTTGGAACAGAAATAAGTCCCATAAGGAGATCTAACAAGTTTGAAATCCATAGTACTGAAGAATTGCCCTCAATATGATGTAGCATTTAAACAATTTTATGAAAAACCTAATTTTGGATTAATTGAGAGCGAATTTCTAACTCGAAATCGTGTAAATGAATTCCAGCTCAAGTCCATAGCTCACATATGACCCGCACATGTTTCCGGAATAATTACTTAGCAATTTATTTCAATTAGGTTACACAACATTTATGCCTGTTATTGGAGAGCAGTAATCAATGAGTTATAGGAACATCGAATGCCTGCAAATATGTTTGGTGCTATTAAGTGAGCTATTCCATCACAGTTAACAAAAAGAATAATTACTTACAAAAGTGTCCAGAACTCAAACACATGAATTTTGATTGGAAATTGCCGTAAAAATATAAATTTTCTATGGAAATCTAGAAAAATTCATCCGAGCGGAAACTAAATTAAATATATAACTCGAACCCTCGGAGGCTTCGAAAGATATTACATCCAGAGTTCAGCTATGGAATCTATGGTGGACGCAATAACGCAACCGGGCCTCGTCACGGGATGCAAATCGAAACACGCGCAACTTTCTTAGCATTTAATAAACAATGAAAATAGAGGAAGGAAAAGTAGAAGGAAGCCGAGTTACAGGTTCCCTGGAACAGCGGGGTAATGAAATATCCGGGATGCAAGGTTCCACCAGGTTGCAAGGTTCCACCAGGTTTGAAGGTTCCACCAGGATGCAAGGTTCCACCAGGATGCAAGGTTGCATCAGGTTGCAAGGTTCCACCAGGGTAGCAAGGTTCCACCAGGCTGCATGATTCTACCAGGCTGCATGATTCCATCAGGTTGCAATTGGTTCCACCAGGTTTGAAGGTTCCACCAGGTTGCTAGGTACCAATTTTAGGTTGCATCCTAAATGATATGTTGGAATTAGCCTTAGAATCAACAATTTTTGAAAATGTCACACGCGATATTGCTGATATATTATTATTTATCCTCTTTCATGATATTTGCAATGAAGCAACCGACACAACAGTGATATGAGAAAGCCACCAACGGAAAAGTATTATCAAATTTAAAATAGGACAATTTCATAGTTTTGGGAATTTTCCTATGAAAGTAACGTAGGACTTCGAGTTACATTCTTCGCTATAGTCAATAGTAGACCACTTTAAGGTTATTAAAGGAAAATTACTCGAATTATCGGGCCATCTCCGACTAGACAGACGTGCGTGCTGCACGGGCTCACAGCTTGCCTTTTCACAATGCGGTTGAACTGTATTAACGCATTTTGTATTGAAACGTCTCACTAAAAGGACTTGAAGTGAAGTCAGTGAAAGAGAATGCAAACAGAGAGTTTATTAATATAATTTACTATATAGTATAGCATATCATAATATAAATTGGAAACAATATATAATATATAATATAATATATCATAACTCTCATGCACTCCACAATATAGCTTGCAATACACTCAAAAACATCAAGAATAATAATCTTCCAAGCCTTCAAAAGCATATGGCAATTTCCTTCAAATTCCCAATTTCTTTCTTGACCAAAATGTAAATATGAGGAAAATTACCTATATTTTAACCAAACATTACATTTTAAGAACAATTTAATGCAATCAACTATTACTATGTAAACTTAAAACAATCACATCAGCAGTTCTCTGAAGTAATTCATTAAAGAGGCTAAAGGTTAAACTTGCCACAACAAAACTACAAGTTCCCAAGCTTGTTATGAAATGAAAGTTACATAAGTGAGTATTTAGCTACCTATGGACTTCATACAAAATTGAGGACATGAGTAAACATCTGAAAAATATTCTCAGGAATCAGAAGTTATGTATACACAAGTCAGATACTGGTAGCAATTAGCAAGTATTGTCATGCCTAATGACATTCATTCTTTAATCATTTAAACAACACATGAAACTTCAAGTTACAATCTGTTAAAACTCAAGCTTTATATGAAACTTGGAGCCAGCAGAAGTTAAGAGATTAGCCGCACCTCATGACAGGAGATGCGCTCCACATTATCAGGAGCAGATGATAAGGACAGATCAAAGTTGCGGTGGTAGCCATGCTTGGTCCAACCATCCTTCTCAGACGACAGCTCTGCAACAAA